GGGCGGGGGGGGGGGGGGGGGGGGGGGTGCTAGTGGAGCGAATCCAGTCTCACTTGGCTGGTGGCCAGGGGGCCGCCTAGGGCCCCGGTGGGGGTCCAGGGGGCGAAGCCACCGATATTTGACGAATTATGGCGAATTTTTATTACTTATTTGATAGGCATCGAGCTACTATAATATGACTTCATGTAGGCTATGTTTTCTAATGTCGAAATTAGCTTCCAAAACCAAAACATTTTGAATAAAACAAGAAACAAAGTGTATGCAATGTAACCATCTAATTTATTTTCAGATCCTCATTCTTGAAAGTGAAGTTCTACATTTTGGAAATTTTGCATTTGTCAACGCTATCAAGGTCGTGGTTGCTTCCTCTATCACGATGAGAATTTGTCATAACAGAACTCAAATTATTTTTAATTAGTCTAATTGAACTATTATTAGGCCTATTATTAATATTATTATTATTATTTATTTATTTATTATTATTATTATTATTATTATTATTATTATTATTATTATTATTATTATTATTATTATTATTATTATTATTATTATTATTATTATTGGGATGAAAAGTTATCTACTCGTCTTCCCCGACGGGGTGAGGGGGGGGGGACTATGCCCACCTCTGTTCCACACGTCAAATTCATTGTTTTACGGAACTGACGTACATACTTTACAATAGTTCCAAACCATGGCAGTCACTCTAATTTAGTCTCTTTGCATACAGTAGGCCTACTTTTAAAACCAATCAAGAAAATTTTCCGCAGGCTTTTCTCCTCTTTTTGAATTTCACTATTGTGCAAGTAGTATTGCGACTACAATATTGTGAGTGGAAATACTACCGTCTAATTTACGATAAAACAGAACCATGGAGATAAGAAGCACACAACACATTAGGTCTAGTTAGCAATGCCGTAGCCAGCTATGGGACAGTTGGGACAGCCCCACACAATTTTTCTAATCGGTCACAAAGAATGGGTCCATATTTTTAAAAATGGGTCCAAATTATGTAATTTTATGCGTACAATGGGTCCACTTTTTGAAAAATTGGTCCATATTTCTTTTATTTAGCTTAAAATGGGTAAAATTTAAGAAAATGGGTCCAGATGTTTCATATTTTTGCGAAATGGGTCCACATTGTTTGAATTTATGCATGAAGTAGGTCCACCCTGATATTGTCCCGCAAAATCCTGGCTACGGCATTGGGGGGGGGGGGTTGATATAATGTTCCCCTCCCCTCCCCCACTTTAAAAAGTGGGGAACGTGTCCCCAGTCCTCACCGATCGATGCCCATGTTCGGAATAAACATTGCTGGTAGGGTCCATGGGGCGAGTTTGTTTGCTTAGTGTGGATCATTGTGCTCTAGACCACAATATTAGGAACTGGCAGTCAAAATAACGTTTTGGATAGGCAAATTAATATGTTTGGTCCGACGACCTCGTCGTGGCGTTGGACGATGGACGACGGGAGTCCGGCCTGCGACCGGGAGAAGGGAATTTCTCTCCCCCTCCTAAAAGAACTAGAAATTCCATGGCAAGTGGGGTGCAAGAACCTTCTCATAGATTTATTTTCTAACCAGCTTTTTAAAGCAAACAGTTCGTATCACTGTTTATTCTCAGATTACTCATGCTTAAAACAATGTTATCACCTATCCAATACATTAATGCATAAGAATGTATAAGGTGGTATAAGTGAATATTTAATAAGCAATTAACTATCCATTAAGGAGTAGCAGTCACATGCGTTATCTGACCATTATCTCACTACCTATTTAGCATTTCTCTGTTGTCATGTCAGGCTTAACCAAAGTCGACTCTCTGATATTAGAAAGAGACACTTATTAAACGGTCGAGAAGACGGTTGTGTGGAAATATATCAATCGGTCGCAGCTGATTATATATGCGTAGGCTGATAAATATCAAAGTACCATTTCACATTTCGTCACTGGAATACTTTTCTTAAATTGAAATCCAAAATCGATATTTTATAATATTAATTACAAACCCTGTTGATCATTCTCTGCATGGTATGTTAATGACGTTTTGTCAAGAAGAGAGAGTACCAGTATGTGATTTGTCTTTATTATAGAGCCTGACCTACGTCTTAATTACCTAACTAACTTAACAAGACATGCGTATCACCAGGGAACAGTTAAGTACAGTAATTTACTGTTCCCTGGCAGGTATCACTAACATTTCTGCACTCATGTTGCAAACACTGCTGTTACTTATGATGCTTATATAAAGGTTTTCTCTGTTGATGAGATGATCTTTACTTATGCCTTGCTAGTAAAAAAGATGATTTTGATATTCATAATCCTCTCGTTTTGTATGCAAACATCCCGAGCTCTAAAACGACGTTCCGCAAACTATGGTCCGCGGCCCAAATTTGGGCCGCAAAACATTTTTGGAGGGCCGGGAAGCCGTCTGGAAATTGAAAAAAGAAATAACAGAGACGTTTCATCATGGAGAAAATGGTTTTTAATAAAGCCGCTTCATTGTTACAGCGAATGCGTCGCTTGCACGCGCTGCTAACGTGCCAGATGATACGGTGCTATTATAAGCGGTGTTTGTGTCTATGCCCCCTCGGGAGCCTTTATCTGTATATTTATTCCTGATAGTTCTAGTATGCAACATTATTTTATATAAATAAATATACTGTAAATATACCCTTTTTAAGCATTAAATACATGTCAAGCGTGGATCCAGATTTTACCCTGGCTATCGCACAGATGGGTTCTCATATTGGGAGGGTCATGGGAAGAGATCTACTGTTTGTTTTGTCGCTGGAAGATAAATTTTAGATATTCGGAAGTTTTTGTTTTCTAGGTGCTTTGAAATACACTTCGTGCATTATGGGGCGTATATTATTGAATACACTCTGAATTCATAGTTTTTCGCTACTTTGCTATGAATAATTAATAATTATGATGATGAAGAAGATGATGATGAGGAGGAGGAAGCTGTGCAAGATTAATTAACAGGCCCTTTGATGTGAAGTGTCAAACGAGGCCCGTAGCCTAAGTTACGGTTGGGAATTTGGAGACATTGTCGTCGTCAAATGTTCGATGCACACAGTCGGACAATAGATGATTTAATCTGTTTTGTATAGAAAGTAATATGAAACACATAAAATATCAGTTCAGGCATTCATTTATCTGTCTGTCTGTGGAAAATATAACATACGAATCATACAAAATAAAAAGAATTCAAATAAAATAAAAATATGTCAAAAACATCTACACTAAATCAAAATGGAATATTCACTGCCTGTTGGATCCCAGGTTTAGTACCGGTATATAACCAATCCCCGTATTTCTGATAGATCGCTGATTAAAATGTAAAATATTTAAGATTTTATATTCAGTACATTCTCAAATGTTATATTAATCTCATATATCCCAAATTGACGTTCATGCACCGAAGTAGAAAGTTTAACTTAATAATTTTGATACTGTTTTATGTTGAATGGTTTTTAATGATAGTCCTATTATTACAGTCTAATATGACCACAACGAAGTCCTCTCCTTTAAAATTTTAACCTACTAAACTTTGCGTATCTCAATATACATATATAAGTCTACTCGTTAAATTAGTGTATATATAGTATAGAGAATTTTGTCTGTCAATCTCAGATTCCAAATTTTAGGAAATTACGTTTTATGCATGCACCAACATGAGAACTTTAACCTAATAACTTTGATATTTGTAGGTCTATGTTTTATGTTGTTTGTTGAATGGACTTCTTTAATAATAATATTACAGTCTGATAAAACCACAACATAAGGAAGTCCACTCTGTAAATGTATAGCATAATATTGTACAGACAATGTAGATTGTTTAGGTCCCATAAAAAAATTATTAGTTTATCACCCGCTCCCTCATCACTTTTGGGGAAAATCTTATTTTTTTATTTTATTTTTTTTTCAATCAACATATATTTTCATTTCAGACAGTCCTTTTCCATCTTTTTTCACTTGAAAAGCTCAGGGTTTCTTGCAAATATGCTTACTGGTACAACAAAAACATTTTTTAAATATAAATTGGATTCCATTCTAATGACTTTTTATATATGTGTCTCTAACCATTGATTTACTTGTGATCATCGGTAAAATGGGGGCGGGATTCTTAAGCG